TAATAGAATTATTAAGTAATTAAAAGAATATAATAGCTTTAAGTAAAGAGAAAACACTTAAATAATTAAATAAGATTATTATAGCTCTTTAAAATTAAATCGCTTAATTAAAGGAGTTATAAGAGCTTTAAGAAAAGAAAAAAAAGCTATAAAAATTAATTCTTAAAACCGCTTACTTAACGGTAAAAAAGAGATATAACTCTTATAATTTAAAGAGAAGTATTAATTAAAAAATATAGGTTAAGAATATTAACTCTCTTTACTATTTAATAAACCCTTAAAAGTATAAGATTTAAATAAATAACTTAAATTATACTTTTAATAAAGTAAAACGTAAGTATTATAAGAATTACTAAAAAATTCTCTTTACCTTAAATTATATAAACTTAAAATATAAGGTAAGATAAAACTAATACCTTAATAAATAGCTAATAAATTAAAAGAAAGACCTTAAGAATAATTAAAATACGTTCTAGAATTAAACCCTTATACTTTTAAAAGACGCGGAAAATTATAAGGCTTAAATAGCTATATAATTAAAATAAGTAAAGTAACGCGAAAATTAAAGCCCTATAAACTTTAATATTTACCTAAATTTATTAAAGAAACACCTAAAAAGAGCTAGCGAAAAGTTACGAGCGCTTACCCTTTTCGTTAAGCTATAACCTAAACTCTAAGACCACATAAACCTATACACAGAGCTCTTACGAATATAGTAAATACAAGTGTATTATGTATTATATTTTGTATTGTATTGTATTTTCGTGTATTATACTATTTTTAGTACTATTTATAAATTTAACTTTAGAAATAGCTTTATTACTACTAGAAAAAGCTGAATTTTGATCTAATTTAGATTTTTCTAAATCTAAGCTAAAATAAGAGAATAAATTATAATATTTCTTTATTTTAACTCATTTTTCCTTATTTTTAGCCTAGTTTTTTAATAATAAAGTTTTTCGAATATTAAAATATATTAAAGAGACTCTTCGCTTACTAATTACGGTACCTTCTTAGTTAAAATTCCCTTTTATGGGCAGCCCTGGAAGTGAGGACAAAGTGAAGTTCACCACAACACACTAACTACACCAGGAATGTCCGGGACACGGCGTTACGCCGGGCCTGGGACGGTGCGGCATAACACGACACCTAGAGAAAACGACGTGATGGCCTTAAAAACCTGGATACTAGGACAGCCACCTGACCAGCGCACCGGGGCCAACCCGGACTCAGCCCGGACCTCTACCACACACGCTCTAACGAACCGCCACTAGAATAGCTAGCCTAATAGGCACCTTTAACCTATACGATCTGAAACACGCTTTATATAACTATAGGTTATAGCGGGGTAGGGACGACCTAAAATAAAAGTGAGGGGGTTTTTCTTTCTATTTAAAGGGTTTTCCCACTCGAACTACGTGTAGAAGTACTAGAATAGCTTGTAATAGCTCTAGAGTACCTAAATAAATAAATAAATAAATATATTATATTATTAAATATATAATATAATATTATAAACTTACTTATTATAATAGCTTATTAGCTTTTTAAAGCTTTTACTAGTAATAGTAGTAAAAGATAGGTTATTTTAAAGCATAAACTTAAT